TCTTATATTATTAGATATATTATTATAAAACATGTTTTAGTTAAGAAGTTATTGATACTTCAAGTGCAAAATGATAATATAAAACCTTGATAAAAATACACTTTTAAGTATCAATTAGACCTAGAGGTCATTTGCAAATTGATTAAAGACAATTTAATAGTTTATATATTTATATACAGTTTAATTACATAAATACCATTAAAAGGAAAAAAAGGGTTTTTGCGTAATTTCATTTTTTACAAATAATACAATTACTTCATTATTATTAAAGTTAAGAATATTAAAGGATGAGTTAAGCGTATTTTAGTATTTTTCTCATGGTTTTTGTTATATTCTATTTAGATTAGGAGAGCATTATTACTTTTATAAATAAAAATAATAATTTAAAAATATATTGGCATGTGCATGCCACACACCAACGAGTGGACACTACTTGCACCCTATGAACAGGGCGTGCGACATCATTTGACGACAAAAATCTCCTAACTACCATGTCATTTGAAACATCTGATGAAGGCAAACCTTATAGGGTAGCATGTTTTGCTCAAATCATAGCAGTTGGTTTTTTCTTCTCCTTTTATTTTCTCTCTCAACTCATTGAAATTTGTGTCATCTCAACCAAAAATCAAGAATCAAGGTTTCTCATTTATTGTCTTTCAATTGTAATTCCTTTTTTCTTTTGATTAAGCTTTCTTTGTTTTGGATTATTTTTTTAAATTGTTTTTTTCGGTTTCATTTATTTTCTATTTGATTTTGTTTTGTTTTTTTATATCAAATGTGGTCTCATTTTCTTAATTGTTGTGGATGGTGGGTTAGTAGAATGAAACTAAGTTAACTCGGGTTTTTATCTTTCACATTTCTTTTTGATTTTTTTTTCAATTCTATTTTTTGAAATTAACTTTTTCAAGTCTTGCCGGGTTATTTATTACATCGACACTCCTACACTTGGGAGAAGACATCAATCTTTTAGTCATGTCATTTTGCTTTCATTTGTCTCTTGTTTATGCCTTTCATTTCCTTTATTATATTTATATAATCATGTTCTCCTCTTATTATATATGTTTCTCTTCTTCATTATATTTAGCTAGGTTTATTATATGAAAGTGAAAAGGTTTCACTAATGGTGTTATGATAAGTATAATATAAACTTAATATGAACTTTAATAATTATATCCTTAACAACCTGCTAATACATGTATTATCATTTTTATCTTATGAATTCTTAATACCTTATTAAATAGTTAATCTAGATTTGTGTTATATAACATTTGGTGTAATAAATGCTTGACACTTTTATTGCTAACCGTATGATATAACTACACTTATGCATTTAGGAACTTGATTTGTTGTTAACATAAGTTGGCATCATGAATTCCTGACAATATTTGAAAGTTTAATGTTACTTAAATAAGATAGTTGACATGACCAAAAGATTGATGTCTTCACCCAAGTGCAGGAGTGTCGAAGTAATAAATAATAAAAATAACAATTGTCATATTAAGTAAAACCACAAACAAAGAAGATTCCAATCGGATTATAACAACAAAAACAACAACAATAGTAGTAATAGTAATAATAATAGTAATAAAGAGAGCTTTGAGATGTAATATTGATATAAGAATTAAATAATAATAAAAATAATTGTCAAGGTTAAAGGATCCACTAATGGTATTTCAAACAAGTATAGTATAAACTCTTATTACTGAGTTGAAAACCACAAACAAAGAAGATTCCAATCGGATTATAAATTATTAACATGATTATATTAGTTATCTTATTCGAATAATGCTAATACTTGTAAATGTTGTCAGACATTCATGATTATAACTTATGTTAACAACAAATCAAGTTCCTTTTATAGCACAATTGTAGGTTATACCATACGGTTGGGCTATGAAAGTCCCAAGTATTTGTTGTACCAAATGTTATACAA